TTTTTAAAAAATAAAGTATACTTCGATTAAAGAAATGAAACAGTGTAGACGAACAAAAGAAAATAAAACATGATTTTTGAAACAATGGCGGTTGATAATTTTGATAAGAGCAAGCGAACTTACTCTCAACAAGTTTTTTTAGAGAAAAATGATACATCTATAAAATATTTTTCAACCAATAAAAACAGCTGCAAACGGGTCAATCCTGCCATTTCAAATTCGTCCAGCCCGATCAGTACGGGACGGTTGCAACTCTGACCCATAACCTACATCTATATCCACACCCACACCCACACTCTAATCCTAAATCTATATCCACGCCCACATCCATACCTACACTCACACATACACTTGCATCCACGCCCATACCAACACCTACACTCGTTCTCAAACTCACACAATCCTGAACCCACACCCACACCCACACGTCCACTCACACCTACATCTATATTCACATCCACACCCACATTTACACCTCACACACCCACACCCCATATCCAAATTTACCAACAATGATAGATCAATTTTTGACAACTTTTTATGGGTATGTTTGACGGATATGTCAGGTTGATCCACCCAAGTCGACCAGGAGTAGATCTCTAGATTGAAATACGTTGGACTCTTCTATAGTATATAAAGGTTTAACCTCATATGGAGTCAGACTCGAAACTTGTTCACTTCTATTGTTTTTCAATATCCAAAAACCTCGGTTTTTTTTATAGAGCGCATCTGATTTCGTATATCATTCATTTATTCAATTAGTATCACATGCCCCCGTTGTATGATCAACATATGCGTCATCCTCATTTACTGTCTGTGATAATTTCAAAGACAAAATAAAAGATACGAGCGAACAATCCATCACAACCGATGTTTCATTATAACCGCTCAACAATCTTGTTTTACTATCTATTAATAACGACTTTTTGCAAATCATTCATTTTGTTTGCAAGAATACTTTCAAAAGTTCCTAAATAGCGTCAATCTCTAAGCTGAACTTTCGTTTATTTTTCACCTTTTTTATCAGCATAATCAGAGCTATATGCATTGAAGCCAAGAGGAAGATATGGAAAAAACAACAAAGCCATTTGCAAACAACGAAAGCCCAGATAAAGGAGGTGACTGTTTTTATCGGTAAATAGTCTACACTGTTTAAAAATAACAAAGATAATATGGTCTAATCTTTCAAAGGACATGTAATTCATGAAGTACGTACCTTCGTTTCGTTTATCACAGAGGTAGTCAAACTGCACTCTATACAAGCTGAGAAATCGGTTTTCACAATATTGGTTACCAAAAAACTTCCATCAGGTGTATTTCTTAATCATGAAAAACACTAGCACAGACCTTAGTCACTCTTTTTGAAATCAAAGTGATATCAGACATGTTGATAAGTTTGACGGCTGGCAGAGCCTCGGTAATCTTGTCTCCAAAAGCAAATGTAACATGTTTAATTAATATGTTTCATCACAAAAGCTTTCGATTAACACACAATAATCTGATGAGGCTCGACTCTACCGTCTGATTCTTCAAAAAGTGTATTAAAGAAACATGTATTTTAGATGCACACACATGTAATTTTAAAAAGAGCAAATCAGAAAGTTCTATTCGTATTTCAATTTATGATTTCAATAAATCCGTTTCATGATCCACTTTTGATTGAAACCACCACGACTATCTCAGATGATAACATTTGTACGATTCTTCGAGTTGTCTTTTTCCGCGTCCAAAGCCTTGCCACTATAGACACTAAGAACACTGCAATTATCGAAATGATTGCCGATTACTCGCCATTTCTGATTATAGCCACCGTTATCAATATAGCTGACCACATTTGTACCATTACTCGTCTTGCCGTTATCCACATCGAGCACTTTTCCAGTTGCCACATTCTTGATCGTAGGAGTCATTTAGAATCTTGTCATCGTGACTTTGTAATAGGGAGAGGATCTACGACCTGAATCATGATTCTTTTGATTATGAAATCTTTTTCAATCAGATGACGATTGTATGTTTAGCGCAAATTCAGAAACAGTCACGCTGACGTAATGTTAAAACAATCAATTGTAAGTATCACAGTTCCAGTGTCTTAGAGCCCATTGCTGACTGCTTGAACCGTTTGGCGGAGAAAGACAGATATTGGCAAAGTTAGCTGAAAGGTCACCGTGCACATCAAGTGCTTTGCCATTATATTTGTTCAAAATCGTATAAACACCTTCAAAATCCATCATCGTTGCTACTTGAATAAAAATAATCGGTGCACAGAATAATTTTGGAAAGACAGTAATGCGTGATCACTTGTATTACACTGCAAGACAGTCACTATAGTTCGCCGATTTGACTTCTCTGAATACTATACAGGACAAGGACAGTAAAGAAGATCATTCAGAAATGTTCTCACATCAAGTCAAAGTAGTTTGCGGCAATTCATAACACTGCTTTCCTGAATTTTAGATCAAAACATAGTTTTACGTTAAACTAGAACAAGAGAATGCCAGTTAGTGAAATATTGAAGATGCCAACTTTGAATAACTACTTTATATATAACGGACAATTAAAAACAAAAAGTGTTCTGGCACATAAAAGATAAGATGAATTCTGTCTTCATGTATCTTAGACATCTGTTGCCTTGTAACTCATTCTCTGTTATCTGATCAAGAGTTGAAATCGATGGTAGACTAAGAATCATACAAGATGAATCCTCTCTAAAGAAAGTTTGTTTTGATAGACGATGGAGAGATGCAGACAGGAGATAAGAACTATTACGTAGTGTAATTTGTTAAACATGAAACAACCGCTCCGTCATCTTCTTTTTACTTAAAGCATCACACACGAGAAAAACTGGCTTTGTAACAGATTTTGCCAATTTTATTTGGTTTTTATGCATTTGTCTACAAACATATCGAATTTATCCTCTAGCATAAGATGATTATACAATGTGAATTTCGCCTTTTTCAAAGTCATTATGTATTATATTCAATTGCTTTCCCCTGTTTCTCTCTGCCTTTCTCGCCAGAAGTGATTAGAGTCTTCTTGCAGTGACATGGTGCAAAATTGCTGTTTACAATCGAGCATTTTTGGAATGAAACCTACTAGCTTTCCTTCTATTAAAGGATAGTCACTATAGACAGAAGCCACTCCAGGAGTATTCAATTTCAATTATTATGCAAAATGTCTATGTTTCCGAGCTCCTCAAATAGTCCACTGGCGTGATTGGCCATTTTATCTCAGTATGCATTCTGCTTTTGCATACGTGTCTTTTTCCTTTTCATCACACGTCATTAGCTACATGCTTAGAATTATGCTTGGGCGCCTAAAGAGTAGATTCTATCGAAAGTCATTGCAGGTGATCAGGATGTGGAGTGTGGTATGTGTGTTGATATTTCCTTCACACAACCCATACTCATACCCATCACCCCATATTAATACCCGCATCTTATTGCTAGTGTAAAGAGATTTTTCATTTGCTATAGCGTGTTCTAGTCCCAATACATAAATAACGAATATAAAGGTTTCATCATTAAGAGAGGTTTCGCAAAAAAAACCGAGTATTTTTCTGGACATCGACCGAAGCTAAATTTTTTTCGATTTTAACTACCCAGTTGGGAAGAGCATTAAGTTTTATGAACAGGTGTAAATTGGTTCGATCTAAAATCTTTCTAAAAAAAGGTGTGGGTGGGTGTGGATATGGTTGTAAGTGTTAAACGCGAGATGATACATATCCACAT